ATTTCGTAAGGTTAAAGCTTTGATAGATCTGTTATTGAGTTTCTTGTCAGTCAACAATGACTCTCGGAAATTGTCATACTTTCTAAAATCCTCATGAAAATGTCATACTGGGAAAGCTTTTTGTTTTCTAGAGGTCTTGCAGCTCAATCTTTTGTAGCTCATAGTGCAAAGGGTGCAAATGCAACATAGTATTCGGCTGATGCATAGCTACCGCGACAATTTAAGGTTCTTTTTCTTCCAAGTAATCGCATCCCAAAGCTCAGCGAACTACCGTTCTTGCTCTGTGGAATACTCGTGTAGTGAGTAGTGATTGTGTTTCTGTTGATTATAGAGATTTCATGTAAAATGCTAAACAAATAATGCCTGCTTCATTCTTGTGTTGTAGGAACCCAACTTCCGTCGAAAGAAAAAAACCTGCGTTCGGTGAAAAAGAGCGCCAAAAAATAGACAAAAATTTGGATGGAGAAAGGATAGGCAGACTGACATAATAAGAAAATCTCAAGTAAAGCTATGCGCGCCCCTACACTAACGAAGCTAAAAACGTCTGCAAATAAAAACACTAATATCTTCACATTTTTGCAGTTGTGCACATCTCCCATGTTTTTGGATAAGAAAAAATACATACCAATTTTACTAAAGCAAGAGATTTTGCTTTTCAACTATGACGTAAACGCATATCAATTTCTGTATTTTACCTTGACTGCTTCGGAATTCGGCTCTATTGCTTTCTTTTTCTTAACTTCCTATATACAAAGTGTCCCAAAAAGATGTGCACACTGTTTGATCATTGATAACTCTCTTGCTTTCATGTCTTTTGCCGAGCTTGAGGTACCATTTTATAGAGCGAGGATAAACTTAGGTTTACAGTATGGAGCGAATCAACAATCATTCTTCATTACTCTAGGATCTCGGTATGAACTTCAGCATACAGCGTCACTATGGAATAAGCCTTCTACTGAAATAATTTCAAAAAAAATCTAAAAATTTGTGTAGCAAGCTATTCAGGCGTGCTATTTTCACCACATAAATTTCCACCAGTTTTTCGAGCTTTCTTGGTATTCACATTTTTAATGGACATTGGAAATTTTTTTGTTACCCTAAAGCTGGTAACTCATGAAAGAAATAGCGTACCGAGGTGCAATTTTTATATTTAGAATCAGCGACTTCGATTAACCCAGTTCAAGAGTTTCTGGCTTGTTTGGCTTTCTTTCTGAGGCAAAATACCGCTTTCAATGGCTTAAAATCCTCCTCGAAATTCCTACCGTAATCCTACAGTAATGAAGAGCTGCTGATAAGTCGCTCCATACCGTAAATGTAAATTGAACCTCGCTCTAAAGAATGGTACCTCAAGCTCGGCAAAAGACATGAAAGCAAGAGAGTTATTAACAATCAAACAGTGTGCACATCTTTTTGGGACACCCTGTATGATGTAAAGAAGGATTCAGATGCGATTCCACGCCGTTCTCAAAGCTTGTGATTTCATCACTGGGAGGCTCCTATATCGCATCACTAACTATCCACTCATGCGGCACTGTCTTTGTCACAAATGGCAGTTTTGCCGGTGTCGTTCTTTCGGACCGACTATCATTCATCGGCATAAGTGAGCACTTTTAGCAATCTACCGTGACCCAATGCATAGAAAATCTGTTTTTAGATCGTCTCACTTTCGAGCCGCAATCTTTTCGAGGTATACTGCAGTCTCCGAGACAATTAGTCATCGACAAGGTGAGACCCGAGAAAAAAGGAACACAAATACACATTGAGAGTTTGGTTCCAAAAGGTTTAGCTGAGTCACACAGTAGTCAGAGTTACTCCAGCAACAATACATTAGGCAAAACTGGTTCTGTTGAGAAATTATTGTTGAGAGAGCAATTTGGAACTACTTTCAAAAGGCACTGACGGCAGTAAACTCATGCAAATTGTTCATAAGGGAAATACAATTCAAATAAGATGATTCATAAAACCAGCCTGAAACGAAGAGCGATCATCTGCAAACTGAGACTCTACCATCGTTTTGTTTGTCTGATTATGCTTGCGAGCCTAACGGACAACAAAGAATTCTCAGACATTCGCAAAGCATTTTTTTTTTCGTGAGCACACACTTGATTGCGTGGTTACAATTGTAGATAAGAAATTCACCTTTGAGCATAAAGGTGTTCGACACGTAGAGCATTCAGAAAAAAATAGAAGTCGAAATGTTAGGTCAATAAATGAACAAAAACAATAATCGGTGCGTGTCGCAGATTCTATGTGGAGTAGAAAGTATTGCTTTTCATTTTTCTAATTTTCAAACACGTCACGATATTCTGTTTAACACTAATTCCAATATTTTATTAACAACTACATAATAAATTGTCATACTCGAATCCTGTCGGATTTTTTTACTAGCATTCATGGCTCCGTGTTATTTTATTAGGTTGGCTAGGACATGCAAATTCAAAGCTTCATAACAATTCATGCAGCTATTCAGCCAAGATTTATTCGTGAGAAGATAGCTTCAAGCCTCTACTAAACATTGAATAGTCAAGATTTTCTGTTACCAAAAAATGACAGTTATAACCTCATATGGCTAGACTTCTAAAAAATAGCTTTTTTGACTTTCTAATTTTCGTTCTTACGCTGCAGTGAGTACACAGGCGACTAGTTTAGTGGCTGGATACATACAGTTGGCTAGGTGGTGAACCACAAAAGAGACTATGACCTGCTGTTTCTGAATTTCTGCGGTCGCAATTGTAAAAATTTCCAGGCCTGCGCGTGAAGGTCAAATGTTAGGCATCCCAGATAACTCGAATTTGGCCATCTATGGCCATGCAAATGGCTGGAAAATCGAAAATTTGCTGGGGTAGCAAATCTACACTTTACACCTGACTTCAATTCGTTTTTCGAAGCGTTATTTTTCGGAATTTTGAGAAAAAAACCAAACCAGGCCAATTTTTTTCCTTCACCATTTCATGATCAGAAAAATCATTTTTGAGAATACTGAGGCAACAATTCGATTCTCCTTGATCTGCTCTTTCCAGTGGTGCCACATATACACACAAAAACTGATTTGTGACAATTCTACAAATTGCTAAAAACGACCAGACTTCTTTTTTAGCCAACGTTATAGTTTTTTTTTTGGACCAAGAGGTTATAAAAGGCAGCACCGGCAAATCTGGACCTATGGGACACGTGGAAGGTAATTTTTGGGGTCATAACTAAGCACTGCCCAACCGGCAGCTCAGGGTGACTAATTGCTGAGATATACGCCTCCTGGCATGGCGCAACCCATCAGTTTCGCGTGAGGACCCACGCGAAACTGATGGGTTGCGCCACGAATCCATGCGAAATACCATTTGGGGTCCAGTTTCGAGGGAATCTCTCAGTCGTTAGTGCATTATGAGCCGCCGGTTGGGCAGTAGGTTAGTTAGGGTCTCAATATCACTATCCAAGTGAGGTCCTCATATGTCCAGATTTGCCTAGACGCTGCCTTCAAGGGGCTCACTTACATCGCGCGGATAACGATATGTTACCAAGTTTGGTAAATACACGGAAAGAGCTAAGGGGTACGAACTGCAGAAACTGTGGTAAAACAAGTGGCAGTGTCTCACCAAATTGAGATTGCGCTGGTCTTCACATCTTTTATTATGGGTCCACTAAATCGCGACTTGTTTTGAGCCCCTCTACGCAGAATAAACTGCGCTCAAATTGTACCAAGCGATTTGGTCCGCACAGCGACTTTTCTCTTCCTCCTCTTACGCATTCTAACAAATTCTTCCACCTGACACCCACCTCCACGCGTTGCTGCCATTGTGGCAGAGGCTAAGGTGAAAAGGCAAGGGGGGCACGCGGAAGGCGACAATCGGCGAAAAATGGAGGCTGTGCATCATCCGTCTCAATGACTTTCACGGATTTCTACTTGTGGCATTGAGTAATGTATCTGCCCCCACCCCCCACCCCCGTTGTCCCCCGGGGTGTCACTTTGACACCGGAGAGTTTTTATAGGCACAAATTTGGGGATTGTCGCCTTCCGCACCACATCCAAAAGGCACAACTCCTAGAAGACGGTCCTTTCGCACGGGCGGCCTCTAGCGCACCCTGATTTTGACTTGTCTGAGCACGTCAGCACGCCTAAAATCTTTCATCCCCCTGCTTTGGCGGTGGTCCGTGAAAAATATTACGGTCTTGCGAATGCCCTGCACAACTCGTGTTTTCTCGGGACATTTGGAAAACATAGTTTTCAAGCATTTATACGATTTTCAGTCCGCGTAGGGTCAGGCATGTTGAAAAGGGATGTAAGGCGTTTCGTACGAGTGTAATGCTTTCCAGCAGGAACTCCGCCGCGCGCGTCACAACTTGTGGCGGCTTTTGTCTGAACAAAGAGTAGGGATCAGGCTGGCGAGCTCCCTCGAAAATCATGTGATATGCGAAAATCTCGGCAACCAATATTCGTGGGACATGCAATAAGGGATTGCCTTGCTGCGCTCTTTGATTTGTAACATCTACGGTGGTCCTTGAGAAAATTTTTCTTTGAAATACCAGTTTGTGCTTTTCAGTCATTTGTTTTGACCTGAGAAGTTGAGCACAACGGTTTAAGCTTTTTAGTTATCTGTTGAAGTAATAAATTGAAGAGAACTTGCAGATAATTCAGTGCTGCAGGTGCTTTCGTTCAGTTGTCACGTACAATTGTAAAATTGGTATTATATATAACTTATAAACTAATCAAGACAATAAGGTTGCTTGAAATCATCACCATGATCATTTAGTGCACATTACCATTCGTCCTTCCACACACTTTCACTGGACTTGCTCACATGGAGCATATATGGTTCCGAAATTCTACAATAGGAAAGCTGTCTACAAATGCGTTTTTCCATCTCACTCACGTCAACTATCTCTATTTCCGGGATTTAACTTTTAAAAACATCGAAACGCGGGCTTTTGGTAAGTGACGTTGCCGTCCAGGTAACGGTCATCTTAATCTGGTATTCGCTTCATTTTCTCCTATACTTTTAGGGAAGATGTACAGTATCGGCCATCTCTTTATGAGCGGAATGGTTAGGGTGGATGAAAGCGAAAATTCCTTATTTGCATCCTCTTCCATTGAAGAATTGCTCATAGAGGGATTAAGCGGACAGCTCGACGTTGCCTTCCTTTTGGGGGCGGACATTCGTAGCGCCGTTATCCGTCAATCCACATTCAGATGTGAGAATTTCAATGAAGATAACGTCACACCAGCACTTGGTAGCTCTTCAATGTCAAGCACAAGGAGAAACAGCAGTATCACATTCAGCAATGTTACCTCCACTGTACTAGTGCCGTATTTCTTAACGCATTTCAACCAGGTACCGATGGTCTAAGCGAACTTTAAAAAATTGTGCGATTTTTAACTTCAGATTAATTTTCACAACTCATCGATAGGGAGCATCAGGCCAAATCAAGATCTTCTTAGGAAACATTCGTACGACCACATCTCCTTCAATTTTCTCAACACTGTGGTCGATCATATGGAATCTTACACGTTCAATGGACTATCAGTTGATAATCTGAACATTAGCAGTAGCACAATTAAGCACATGGGCCGCCTTGCAGTAGCAGAAGCAGAATTCGATCGCATTCACATCGCTGACACAGAACTAAGAATGCTTGATGAGCTGGTGTTCGCTGATGTTCGTATCGGAAGCCTAGAAATGATTAGTACTCGAATAGGTCTCATTCCTCTACAAGCTTTCGAGAATTCCCAAGTGGGAAACATGACGATAAACTCATGTGAAATCAAAATTCTTGCCAGCAAAGCATTCAACAATGGCTTTTTTAAGACTCTTACGATGAAGAACACGACTGTTAACAACGTTGAACCACAGCCGTTCGTGCACCTGCAGGTAGGCATTTTTACTGGCTAGTTGCGGTTTTCACTTACAAACTACCACTGAAAAATTAAGCTAAGTGAACGAGGGAGAGGATTAGGTTGTATAAGGAAAAAGTTGCATATATTCTTTATCGGTTTTAATCATAGTTTTTAGGTTTTTACACCCATCCTTCCCTATTTATGGTGAAAAGAAAAGACAAACGAAGAAGTTCACCAGCCTACCAAAAAAATAATTAACAGTACTACGTAGGACGTAATAATCACACTTCTGCATCCAAAAGGCTATGCATAGTACCAGTGCTTTTACTCGTAGTAGACGATATAAGCAATGAATTCGGAGAAAAGTTCCACCCATTTTACACAAGAAAAAAAAACAAGTTGCCTAGTAGCAACAGTTTACAAAGCTGATAACTCCGCTACAAAAAGTTTTACCTTTAGGTCGAAAATGTCGATATTGCCGACTGTGCATTCCATGGATCATTTGCCAGGCAGTTCTTCACAGGGTTGACTCCAGTTCGACTCACAATTCTAAACTCAAATTTCTCGTGTGACCCTCATGACTGCGAGATAAATGCGATGCTACTAAAACCCTTGCGTCAAGAGCTATCATGGACATTTCTCGGAAACAAGTGTAATACTCCCTCCACGGCGGTATGTTCTAAACCTTCCACATACTTCCATGAAGGCTTAAGCTGTCGTGTCAATTGGGCTGTAGCAGACTGTCTCTGCATTGAGACATCGGCTTCATTGACAAGGTTCAATACCTCTGTTGTCGTCGCTGGCGATTGCGATTATCTCAAAATCAATGCTTCTGAAGGGTCCACTGCTGCTCTCTACCTTTTTCGAATAAATCGGTGCCACGTTGTGCACATTCCAAGCACCATCAAAACATTTGAGATGTTCCACACAAGCGTAGCAATTCATGAGAATGCGATGCAGCACAATCGTATGGACACGCTCTCACTTTCCCATACGAAAATCTGGGAAACAGCACCCAATTCTTTACACAATGTCAGTATTGGGCAGATAACGGCGGAGCACTCTACGTTATCAGACTGGGATCCTCAAGCATTGAAGGCTACGAAAGTAGCTCATGCAAGCATCATGAACTCAAGATTAAGTGCAGTGCGGACATTCCTTGATGCAGTCTCTCACATGAGGATCCAAAACAGTGTTCTACTCGACTTTGATGGTCTTTCTTCGTTAAACAGTGTGTATCTGCATAATAATACGCTCTTATGTTGTTGTACCCATGAGAAGACTAGGTGCAAGAATGGTGCTTTCACAAATGAAGCATGTGTTCGTCATCTTGATGCATTTGATTGCAAGTCGTCTCATAAAATAACGAATCTTTTGAAATTGATGTTTGTCTACATATGCGTTGCTTACGTAGCTCGATGACATCGTTTTTGTAAAAATGTATTGTTATATATAGATTAATGAAGATTCGAGTGTATAAAGTTGTAAATGTTTGTTTATCTATGCTGCAGCTCTTCGCCAATTCGAGAAGATATGAACGATTTTTATTGTGCTAAGTTGGTCATTAAAGATTAGGCAAGCAGTAGTACTCATATATGCCTTTACTGGATTTTTTTTGCAAGCGAGAGAAAAAAGACTGTTCAAAAGTGGCAAACTCCACTCCCATCCCCCTCCCACATATGTAAGTGTATACTACAAGCCTTACTATGTATAATATTAAGAATTTACCCATGTATGTGTCCTTCCAACCAAGAAATACCAAGTTTTACATAAAAACTCGAAGAAAGTGTTTTGGCATCTTCGAACCAGCTTTGTCTCTCTATTTTAAATCACGGAAAAAATCCACCAAATACATTTTTGGGTATCGCTATCTGTCTACTATACAAAGGCGAATTTGGGAGGAAGTAGGAATTTTTTGGAAGGAGATCCCATTTCAGTGTAGCTGATAAATTTTGATTTTTAGCTCCAAAGCTTGGGGTCATGACTTAGCGGATTTTTAAAGTTATTTTTTGTAGAGCTTACTCTGCGCTATCGAATGGTACCTTAAGTCTATTTGAAGAATAAATTTATCTGGAAAACAGTTTACTTTTGGGACGACCTAATATTTACGTTGATCAATTGCCTATGTTACCAATTAATTAGATCAAATTGGCAGCTGAGCCGTCGGCAGGTACAGGCAAGCATGGCAGCACGCTAAAAATAACGCATTAGGCCTAAGGCATACCTCACGCGATTCCATTCGCTGCGCGATTTGGTACCGGAACGACTGTTCATAAGTGGTCATCAAAGCGCTTTCTTAAGGCAGGACTTGATCGGTTTGCAGCAAGTTACAGAAGCTACGCGTCCATGTGTTGAAGGACCGTGCACGATAAATTTGGAGATATCTGGCAAAGTGCCAGGTCGCGTGAACGTAGCGATTTAGCCGAATCGCGCGAGGTATGTCTTAGGCCTTAGACATCACAGACCATTGTTTTCATGAACTTTTTTGGTGTAATGGGTAAGCCGGTATGTTGTCTCGAATAAGCAAAGGGTGCATTGACTTGTGCGCCTGCGTTTGAACTCTTCTTAATTGTGCATTTATACATGCCAGAAATGTATACATTGTCGATTCTTCATAGATGAAAGTATATGAAAGGAAAGAATCTCGAGACTTCTATCTGTATGCTTGTCGCTTGATTAACTTGATGGACATGGCCAGGACGAGAACTTGTAGAAAGAGTAACACCGATGCTGCTGTGCCAATGATCGTCAGTAACCTTGCTGTCTCATTCCTATGAGGATCAAAATTGAGTTGATAAATTATGCCGAGTGATTAACTTACCACATGACTTTGCCTTTTTCCAGTAACTTTTCGTCATCGTCTTCTTTTGTGTCCTAAATCAAACACACATTGGTAGCTCTATATCAAGTATTATTTCACTGAACCTCAGGTTTCTTAGGACCTTTAGGCACCACTCTTGGCGTTTTCGTTGTTGTAATATCTGAAACCGTGTTTTGATTGATGATTAGGAAAAGAGAACCTACTATCAAAAATATGTGAACACAATTTTTTTCTTTGATTGAAGAATTCATATTAATTTTGCCTCAAACAACTAAGCTATAAGTTCTTATTTGAAGTTTTCCTGTGCAATCGCAAATCAAATCTATGTTTGTACTCTATTTTTATTTTGTTTTTGTACCTGTGTAGATAAGTTCATAGTTCGAAATTGTTTCCAAGCTATTTTTCCGGTGAAGAACGAAAGTTAATATGAGGTGGATCGTCTTGTGAAATCATTGCATTCAATGAAGATCTACATCCTATGGCGCGAATTGCCAAGAATTTTTTTTACAGCATTTTAAAAAGGAAAAATGATTGAGCTTAGATGTGCAGTATGAACAACTCAGTCGCCTAACTCCTGCGAATAATCAAGATGTTATACTAGTATCAAAATGACGGTAGACTTCGTCCGGCCATTTTGCATGCGAGTTTCAGTGGACCGGGTCTTTGAAGTGTGAGTACCTGAAATCAGTGGCGGACCGAGGGTGAGGCCCCCCCCCCCCGAGAATGGACCGCGAAATTTTTGAAAATTACTTATATGTGTTATAAAAATGCGCCTGTGACTTGTTTATTCTTGTGAACAACTAAAATAATTTTCAAATTTCTTAAAATTCAGTTTAGCCCCGTAAAAAATTTTTTAGGGGAGGGGAGGGGTGCGGCTGACGCCACGTCCCCTTTTTCCCAAATTTTAGGGGTTGAGGACCCGCGGAATTTTAAAAAGCACTTTTCCAGCAGAAACAAATGATTGGTGGAGGAAATTATACACAGGGTGTCCCAAAAATTGTGCCTACTGTTTGATTGTTAATAATCCTCTTGTCATTGAGCCTTTCGAGAAGTTTTAAACCATTTTGTAGAGCTGACTTTAACTTTGACTCACGTGTGGAGCAGATTACTGTTCTCTCTTTGTTACCGTAGCATTACGGTGGGAACTTTGGAGAGAGTTGTGCTTCATTGATGATATCCTACGCCTAAAGAAGGACTATAAAAGCAAACTCTTACACTAGGTTAATCAGGGTCGCCGATTTCAAATATGAAACTCGCAGTTCACCGCAAGGCTTTTTTCGTAATTTATGCTAGATATAACGTTACGACCAGGGTCAAGCGTGGGGTGCGGCACGCCACACCTGGGGGGTCGTATTGAGGAGTCAAAAGGGGAGGGGGTCGTAGTTGGGTAATCTGATAATAGTGATAACATGATATTCGTATCATATCCATAATTAGCATGTCAATTAACCCCTATAGACAAAGTGTGAGCGAATTCTGAAGATTCAAGATGCTAGGCTACCCAAATGAAATGGTCAAATTCCAACATGGTTAACTTTGTTTCAAAGGTGAATTAGCTATCCGTTTTTGCACTCAAGACAAAGCAATACTCCTTCTTTGTCCACCTCAGGAATCCTGCTTCAGAAGACCTCCAAACTGTAGAATTAGAAGCCAACCAAAATCTCATTTTTCCCATTTTTCGCTTTTGATCGCTGTGCTTTCACCAAATATTACATAGAGCTAAGAAGACAAATCAGGCTTCAAATAGTCCTATGGAATCTACAAGGTTTAGGCTATCGATTCATATGAATACTGTCCGCTAAAACTGTTTTTTTTTGATATAGTTAATGGGGTGCGGCACACCCCTTCAAAAGCTGCGGCTGCCGCAGCTTTTAAGGGGTGTGCCGCACCCCCTTAACTTGCCTTCAAAATCCAGAAAGCGCTCCATTGCTGGTATGAGTATTGAGCACATAGCTTCTTCTTGCTACATGGAAATTTGGAGCCGAACGCCCCATGCATAAGAAAATTATGGCCCTTTCAATATGCCCATTCAGATCAAAATCAGCCGTCAAATTACGTGTGATTGCAGAGTGCACTCACAGAAAATCGGGCGTACAGCTCTCAGAAATCTGAAAACTCTCTAGAAAAAAGATGTTGTCCTCCAGAATGTCACACTTTGAGGTCCAGAGGTTGAGAGGAGGAAGAAGGGGTCGTTTGAGGGCTTTCATGGGAGGGGGGGGGGGTTTCGAAAGACTTGTGCCTGACCTCTTTCTCAACTCTGGTTACGACGGATTTTTGATATTTGTCAAGAATTTGATTATGCCATTTAAAAAGCTTTGCAAACACGTAAAAAGTTTTGTTGAAGTTAGCGTGCACGAAAACCTTGTTACACAAATGGTAAGATTTCTTGAAAATTTTTTTTCGAGCGCCGTATCTCACAGTGGTGCCGTATGCGCAAGTTTCTACCGTAATATTACAGTAACGAAGGGAGATTGGTAATTCGCTCTGTACTTTAAATCTAAGTTGAAGCCAGCTCTACAGAATGATACTTAATCCTTCCTGAAAGATTTCATGCCAAGAGAGTTTATACAATCAAACAATAGGTACATTTTTGGGACATCCTGTATATTTCACTGAATCATAGCTGAGTTGGTTGCTCGTGCAGCACTCGACCTTTTTTTAGAGGAAGCTGTTCATTACCCGCACCGTCCCTTACCAGGTTCTTCTGTTTCCTCTTCAGGTTCCTCTGGTTCTTCAGTTTCCGGTTCTTCTGGTGGCTCTGGTGGTGGTTCTGGTTTTTTCGTCGGTTCTATGGGAGGTGGCTGTGGTGCTTTAGTAGGTTCTGGCTTTGCCGTCGTTGTGACTGTCTTCCACTTTTTGTAAAAACACCTTGCAATTTCTTTTTCATGACCTTCGAGTTTATTCTAGAAAGTAATATGTAAAGGATGTGTCAGAACAAGACATTCAGCTAAAACAAAGTATACTTACCACAAATGTTCCAATTGGGTCTGATATTGGACACGCCATGATTGTATCAGCCATCCAACAATAACCCGCCTGAGAGTAAACAAGATCAAAGTTCGCGCCTTGCCGCAAACCGTGAGCTTCAATCTAGCAATAGCAAGGAGTGTAAGCTTGCTCTCCCCAAATTTTAGCATCAAAATTTTTTACTTCTTCTGTTTCCGCTTTGGCCCAATGGTGGCAGAAGTGGTAAGAGAATAAAACCCTATAAACATTCCAAATGATGTTTACGCATACCTTACTGCATTTCCTTTCCGAATTTCCAGATTGGGCCACCCCAACCCCCTCCTAATGTCTCGGCAATGTGCGGATGCTAGAATTTGTAACAATGTTATTAGATGCCTTCTAATCGATAAATAAAGTATGACACGATAAAGAGATCTACAAAGACAATGCTCCGAAATTCAGCGGCACCGCCTTCGTCTAGAAAGCCGCTCACTAAGCGATTTTAGGCTGCAATGTATAGACAGTTCACCGCACGCAAAGACTGGGCGTCACTATTGAAGCTGTCGGCATCTCACGCATCGACCGCTCTTTCATTCGGCTTGTCGTCTGCTGTCTCACCCATGCACGAACTATCTCATTCGGACGCAACGACGTCCAGTCCATGCTTGCGATGAATCGTCTGCATATCGCATACCGCACGCAATCATGACAGTACAGTCACACAACAATGTCTTGGCTCTGACGGGCTTTGCCCCCTCACATCCAAAGAGAGTTGAAAAACAATTTGCGACATTTTTCTGCTTCAAAAGTTGGATATTGAAATCAGCGACACAGCTAAGCCCAAATGAACGAACATTTTTGAAAGAAGATTTTGCCAGAATGGTGCCTTCAAAGCCTGCAGCTGAAGGGCTTTAACGTTTTGTGAGCCTGCTGGACTTACTGATTCTTTAGGAAAATACTTGAGGAACGAGGACCTTTTTGTTCGCTATTTCCATTGCTGGTCTAGCAGAGTGCGACAAAACCATCTAATTTCACTCTCATCTAACAAGGTCCTTGTAAGCATCCCGCAATTTCAGTCAACCATGCCTGAGTCTTCAGATCCAACGTTTGCAAGCAGAAAATATAGTGTGTGTATAACTTCGAGAAAATGCTCTATCTTTTCTATATTCAGGAGCCTAAAGTGCTGTTTGATAATTAAATAAGATCATTTCTCGATTGCGCATTGAGACAGTGCGGTGATCTAGGCCATTGTAAAAACGTAGATGCACAAAGAGCTCTTACAGCAAAGTATGGTGTCGCATATAAATGTAGTTAAAATGGGACGAATTCATGTAGAAAGCTAAAAAAATTACGGAGTGGATCAAGGCAAGAGTTCTGTTATGTAGAAGTTGTACTTGTTTTTAATAGCGTCCGGGCAAAAGCGGGAAGTAGTCCCTCAACTACACCATCCTCAGACGCGATGTGTCATAATTTGACACAACGCAAAAAAAGCTCTGGAAAGTTCCCTCGCACGTCTAAGGCCCCGGTCAGACTTCACGCGACTTAATCGTCGCGATCTAATCGCCAAGATTTCCATTCATTTTCATTTCACATTCAAAATTTCGGGCTGGAAAAGTATCACAACCAAAATGCAACTTGATCGGCATGGAATGATGTTGTAACAGTTGTCTCGTCGCGATTCAGTCGCGACGATCAAATCGCGTGAAGTCTGTCCAGGGCCTAAGCCCTCTGCCCGCCCACCTAAAAGCCATGAATGCATGTTGATTCCCATCGGGATAGTAGGCACCTGTGCACTCTTCACATTATTTGATTCAGTTCCATACTCTATGATTTTGATCGATCTAATCTGGACTTCCTCATAGAAGGTACAAAGTATTAATTTCGACCGATACCAACAATATGGAGTCCACATTCTTGTTTATCGCGACTTTGAGGCTCAATAAAAACAGAGATTCCCAGGTTGTCGACTTGACCGGGCCTTGCCATCAAGAGGTGCTAGCAAATGCACATAGCCCGGACGGTCAGAGGTCTTCGAATTCAAAAATTGCTCTCAGTGTCACTGCCCTTTTTAATAATGTGAATAAGCTCTGAGAAAGGTTTTGATTATTGCGCACCCGTTTTAACGTAAGATTAGAAATAGTGAGTAGTGAAATATCTGATAAACATGTCTTTCTCACCGCTTCAAGGCTTTTCCCTGTTCCGTATATTATAGTGTCCTCACAAGGCTGACCTTTCTCAAAACGTGCTGCTACGCAATCAGTCTCAATCTAGAGAGTGCAGGAGATAATTGACCATGGACTGTGGTAACTCACATGTTCGTGGTAGCCTTCATCACCAGGAAACAGGCAAAGAAATGGTTTCTGTTCGTCATTAAATTCCCCATCCTCACTATAGAGAGCTGATGCACCACTGTATGAGATGGCGATACTTGTACCGTTCGTTAGCGTTATCCTTCCGCTTAATTTAGTATCAGGGTAATCTTTGACCAGAGTGTATCCGAAGGATAAGCCAAATAAGCCAAAGAACGTTGCGGTGTGCATAAGCTGGGTAAAGTTGAATGAGAAATGAGAACTACTCGATCCTGAAGGGTTTGGTAACTTAACCTTCGAATGAGCATATCACTTGTAAACAGTCATTTTGATAGAGCCTACAAGAAAGAACAGTTTTTAGCAAGTAACTTTGCACCCCATCAGCCCGCTGGCAGGCATCCTACGGGTTTTTTGAGGAACCAGCTCCGTGTATTGTAATTTGCGCACTTTCCGCTGGATTGTAAATAAAAGACTAAGCAGTCGAGCGTAAACAAGCAAAGAAGAAAATGTAATTTTCGCCATGCTTTATTGAACATACTCGTGCCTAAGGCTCCCGCCAGAGTGCCGAAGCCATGCCAGCGCTACGCCAGCGCCGAGCTAGCGTTTCGATCGATACACGTGTATTTCGTTGGGACGGGGCTAGCTGACCTAGTTCTCAGCCAGGACCCCGCCCCAACGAAATACACGTGTATCGATCGAAACGCTAGCTCGGCGCTGGCGTAGCGCTGGCATGGTTTCGGCACTCTGGCGGGAGCCTAAGTTTCAATCACAGCTTGATATAGTCTATATTCGTTAATTGTCGAAAACGCAAACATTTGTAATCTCAGGTCTGTGCAAACGTTGTCCCTTTTTTGAGTCCACCCAGAAATCCCACGCAGGAAGATAAGCATATACTTCCATCATCGCAATGCAGAATTTTACTTTCCAACAACTGTGTTCACGTTGTCACCTTTACACTGGCCGCTGAGATAATTGCCGGGGTTTCAACTTCGTTTGTATGGTGTAAATCCGGCCACCTTCTCATATTCAGACAGTCGAAGGGATACCTCCGGCGGGCAAATGGCGCGAGTCTGCCAATTCGCGCTCTGGAGCGCTCCGGAGCGCGAAGTGGCAGACTCGCGCCATTTGCCCGCCGGAGGTATCCCTTTGACCGTGACCGTTCACCGTGACATCACCGTGACGTCATAAGCAGGCGAATGGGAGCCCTCTCCGGGACGCGTAAATCTCTGCTCCAGAGGTGCGCCAGATTTGGGAGAGCCCCGGAGCACCAAAATGGGTGAAATGGCAGCGCCGGAGCGCTCCAGAGCGCGAAGTGGCAGACTCTCGCCATTTGCCCGCCGGAGGTATCCCTTTGACTGTCTGGGTAGGTACCTCCGCAACCCACTTGCACTGCGCACTTTCCGCTGCCTTCGGCGCATATTTCTTGACCTTTGACGAACTCAGACAATCGACCGGACCCCTCCGCCGGACAGTCCGAATCTGCCAGAGTCGCGCCGGACCCAGTTGACCAATGAGAGAGGGGCAAATGGGCGGTCCGTCGCCTTGACATCACTGGCAGGCAAGTGGGAGGCTTCTCCGGCCCTGCTGCAAAGGTACGCCATTTCTCCGGCGCGACTCTGCCAGATTTGGCGGACTCGCGCCGGAGAAATTTGCCCTTTTTTTGAGGGGTCCGGAGCAGAAATGGGAGGCCTCCGGAGCAGAAAATGGGAGGTATCCGGAGCAGAAAATGGGAGGTATCCGGAGCAGAAATGGGAGGGCTCCGCCGGACAAATGGGAGACCCACCGCTGGGGAAACGCCGCGACCCTGCCATTTCTCCGGCGGAGGGGTCCTATCCGTTGCCTGAGAAAGTTTCTTTCCCATACTGTTGTTTTGTTTATTGCTGTATAGTCCTTCTATCTCCGTTGTAAGCGAATCACAACAGCGGCCAAAAACGGACTTTTGCGCTCCTAGGATAGCCCTTAGAAGCATTTGTCGTGAAAATTTTCGTTTTCACTTAATTACTTGAACTTGTGTAGTTTCTTTGAGATTAAAACCACGACCACCTCTGAAGTTTCTCTCATAGGCGCGTCTATCGTACGGATTCTATAAATCAGAAGTAGGGCTTGATTCGAGAGATTTGGTCATGCTTGAGTTCAAACTATTTGAATTTTCTATGTCCTTGGAAGAAAAACGTCCGAACAATGTTGCTCATTCTTTATTCGCTACTAGTATCTATCGCCTTTTACCCTTTTTTGGAAGATAAACTGGCATTGACCGGCTTAGGCCTCGGTAAGAGTTGAGCAATTCGGTCGTCATCGCGATTCAACCGCTAAGACAAGTGTTACGAGTTCATTGCATGCTGATCTTCTTGCATTTCGGTTGTGAAAGTTTTCCAACCCGACTAATCGTGACTAAATATCACAACCGAAATACAAGAAGATCAGCATGCAATGAACTCGTGACACTTGTCTTTTAGCGATAGAATCGCGACGATTAAATCGCGTGAACTCTGCCCGAGGCCTTGGGTGAAATTTGATAGCTAGCGAAAGTTGCACACCCTATATTTTGCGTAGGCCTTTTAAGGTGAAATTAGAGGGTTCCACTTATTATTTCAAACTTTGTCTACAGGTGCTTTACTGCTCATGATTGAGGTGAGATGCACCAAGCCGATGCGTGCTGCTTGTGCGCCGCGTAGGTAGTACCTATGGGAGCCGGCTGAAGCACACACTATGCCTTGTCTAACTTTGACAAATCCAAAGCTTTTAAAGGCTTTCGACGAAATTTTGATAACCATTAGCTAGATCAAACTTTTCGCAGACTTATACAAATTATCTGCATGTTTCTAGCGAGTTTACAAAGATTTTTAGAAAAATTTAGCTTGGTTCGATAGTCCTTCGCATGCACGTTTCCTTCAAAAGTCATAATTTCTTTGCACATTGTTGGATTTCTCTGAACGCACATAATTTCGAAAGAAGAAATCATGCCCCTGCACCTTTGTTACGAATCAGCACGGGAAACCGAGAGAAGAAAGATCAAAAAAATTACTCAAGACTAGCATTTCGAAGATGAAAAATAGATTTCAATTCTATGGTTGCAAAAAAATAAAAACCACTCTGTAACAAGTCTTCTGCTATTTAGGTCTCTTGATGCATCCTCTTACAAGAATATCTGGTGGCCGTGGCCTTTTGCAATAAGATGTATGACAGTAAATGCACCTTGAAACGCTGATTCCAAGCCTATGTTAATTATCTGCTGTGCGACTCTTTAAACGAAATTGTGGACCTTTTCCTTATTGATTTTACGAGGTTTAGGCAGTCAAAATCGTCAGTATCCAGACTTTTTAGACTCTGATATATCGAACACAGACAGCTCTTCTTAGCTTAACGTGAAGCTTTACTTTTTTGGACGCTCTTTTGTAGTGCGTGAGTGAACATTCTAACGATATTGGTGAATCCTGCAAGAACACTGCAAATTTTTGAGAAAATAAATGTTCGTGACTTTTTCGGAAGAGCGCACAGCGGATACCGCATGAAGATTTGTAATCAGCGCTTCAAGATGCATTCAATGTGTACGTTTCATTTCAAAAGGCCGAGGTCACCAAGTACTCTTCCCTTATCAGTGCTTTCTGTGACCTTGCTTTGAAAATGCAGTTTTGATTAAGCTCTTCATTCGATTGTAACTATTGCATCTTAGTCATTTTAGTAATGACGGCAAAGGTACCACTGTGACGCGTAAAGCTCTCTCTTAAAATTTTTGTAAATCTTTTGAAGTTCTGCTTAAAAATGCCAATTGTGAGTAACAATTTTCAACCGCTCGTAACTCTCCCATTTCCCCACATTGCTTAAAATATAGCTGTGAAGGGCATGTTTTCTGCTGGTAAACAGAAACGCTTCCACCGAATTTCATCAGGCAGAGTAGAAGTTATGATTATTTGGAAAATAGAAACAATTTCAAATCAGCCGAATACCTTATGAAGACAATAACATTGTAGTGGTCTATACAAACCTTCTCAAACTGAAATAGTACTTTAGGAGCAACCGCTGCAGCTTTTCCTTCCTTTTAATCCGTCATTCTTTTGTTATCCGTACGAAATTTGCAGGCTCGCCATATTTTTTTCACATGTGCGCACCTACCGCACCCCAAATGTCAAAATCTCCATAAATGAAAACGATAAGCTTGTTTATTTTGTAATTATTTGATAGCATCAATGGAATTCAAATATGAAAATCTTACAAAGTTTCCACTTTTTGAAGCATTTTTTGTTAAGCCCTCTTTTCGATTTCAGGTCGAAGAATAACATAGGAAAATTTTGAATTTGCAAAAGGTTTGTGATATTTGCTGGTAGACAAAGCTATCTGGATATAAATTCCATATGATAGCAGAAATTAGGAAAGGTGAAAACGAAGGGTGATTAACTCCGAAGACTATTCCATTATTCGTCAAAAGAGCCACAATGAGAACGTAGCCGCTAGAAGCGAGAATAGATTCCCATTGGGTACCGCGCATTCATTTATACTCTGCTGGATCTGAGGGCGGTTTGAAAAACGAACAAAACTTTTGCACCGACCTAATATAGTTTATACAGGTGTCCTTATGAAAACAATCGTTTCAGGTAATTTCTTCACTTAACATGACTTCTTCTTACTGAATATGAGCACTTGTGGTACAGAAATAACACAAGTGCTCATACTGAGTAGGACGAAATTATATCCCATGGAATGTTTAATGGCACATTAATAGATGGTTGCGCCTTTTTTTGACAATAATTTTACATATAAAGCTGAATGTCTGTTTGTCTATATGTATGTATGTCTGTCTGTCTGTCTGTATGTATGTTCCGAATAGAAAGTTCCATTTCTGAACCGACCCGGACCAAACTTGGCACACATAGACTTCGAGGCGGGTCGGGTGTCGTAGGCTACTTTTTGTCATCGATCGATACAATTCTATTAATTTTTATCGATTTTTTTGAGGAGTTCACCTACGAAGGCTAGGAGTTGGCACAGGGGGGGGGGGGTAAGTGAGCATGGGGATTTCGAATACAATATTAGTTTTTAAAATTACCCAATACTTTTATTGATTTTATCAATTTTTTGCAAAATTCGAGCTACGGGACTGGAATGGTAAATGGTACAGGGGGGAGGGGCTAATCGAGCATGCTGATTACGAATACAATATTAGTTTTCAAAATTATCCATTACTTTTATTGATTTTATCGATTTTTTGCAAAATTCGAGCTACGGGGCTGGAATGGTACAGGG